CAGAGAAATAGAACCAATAAAAGATTATCTACCTATCTATTATCTATCCATCCATCCATCTATATCTATCTAGGAAGACATTTATTATAAGATATTGGCTCCTAGATATATAAGGATAATATATAAGATGGTATAAGCCTTCCTAGAAAGATTCCAGGAAGATAACTGTTATCTGTGGGAAGAGATTTATTATAAAGTATTGAGGCTGAGAAGTTCAATGATTTGCTATCTGTAAGCTGGAGATCCAGGAAAGGTATACTTCATCCAGAAAAGGTATAAGTCGAACTGACACTATAGATTCCAGTCTGGATCTGAGGTCCTAAAAACAAGGAATGCTGAGGGCAGAAGATCAGTGTCCCAACTCCAGCAGAGTTAATTCGACTTTTCTCTACCTTTTTGTTCTATTTACGTCCTCAACCTGAATAGATTAGATAATGCCCATTTATATTGAGAAAGACCATCTGCTATTCAGTCCACTGATTTAAATGCGAATCTCTTTCAGAAACATTCTCACAAACACACCCAGAAATGATGTTTCACCAGCTATCTGGGCATCTTGTGACCCAGTTAAGTTGACACATAAAATTAACCATCACAGATGCTAAGACAGTCCAATTTCTTGAAGATTCGATTATAGATCAAAGTTGGAGAGTTGACATAATACTAGGCAAAATAGGAAAAGTTACTGTAATCATGGCTAAATGATAGCAAATTGCTTTTGGTATATTTTACTTGTTGAGCTAGAGAGAACGCTTTTGCTATGTTCAAACCAGATACCAGGGGTGATGTTGATTTATACCAGCAGAAACATCTGAACCAATAGCTGCAGCTGGATTTGCCTACTTTAATTCTATCTTTCTAATACTTATTCCTTTTATTTCTTTGGCCCACTGGGCTGAGATGTCCACTACAATCTTGAATAGCAGAGGTGGGAGTGAATATCCTTGCTTTGTTCCTAATCTTAGAGAAAAAATATTTAGTCTTTTTCTTTCAGTACAACATGAGTCTGCAGGATTTGTATACATAAACTTAGAAGTTTAAGAAAATTTTCTTCTATTTCCAGTTTGCTAGTTTAAAGTAGGAGTAAAATTTTATCAAATTCCTTTTCTGCATCTGTTGATATAATCATATTATTTTCTCCTTTTATTCCCAGTAAGGTGGTAAGTTACCCTCATTGATTTGTTTTTTAAAGCAAACTCAACCTTCTGTACCTGGAATATATCTTCTGAGGTTGTGATGTATTATTCTTTTACAATTTGCTGAATTTGATATGTTAATACATTGCTAAATATTTTTGCATCTAGATTCATGAGAGATCTTGGCTGCAATTCTCGTTTCTTATAATGTCCTTGAATAACAGCACTTTGTAAATATTTTTTGAATCATTGAATTCAGTACAAAATATAGAACACAAAAATATGATATACTATTATAACTAACATACACACAGGACACACATTCATCTGGAGGGAGGACTCAGAAAGACTTCCCCACTTGCGGATGTACCCTGCTACATTCCATTCCCCATAATGTGGACAACATAATCTTCTCAAATGTAAATGTTGTCTCATAAATCCCTTCTTAAAAAAATCTATCCATGGCTCCTTATAACTCTCAGAACAAAGTTTAAACTCCAAGCTTTTTAAAATTCCCCATCTTTTGCATCGTGCTTTTGTTGTTTCTGGGCTTCAGCAACTTGCCAGCCTCTGTCAGGAGCCCTTTATCTCTCCTCTTATTTATGTCTTCTCATTTCCCTCCAGCCGTTGCACGGGTGCACTTGTGCGTGTGCACATGCACACACACACACACACACACACACACATAGACACACACACACTGTCATTTGCCTGGCTAATTCCAAAACATTCTTGTGGTCTCCTCTTAAATATAATTTCATCACTTCCACTAGGAAAGATCTATATCAATTAGATATTCCTCATCATGCACCCTTGTTGGTGGGAAAGAGGGTAAAACAGGCTTTGTCAGCTTTTGTCTGGATTCAAATCTCAGCCCTGTCACTTATTATCTAGGGACATTGTACAAGTTATTCAACCTCAGGGCCTCATATACCTCAAAATGTACCTAAAATGGTTTATTATGAGGAATAAATGAAAAGGACATACACTGTATATGTGTATCTATCTGGCACAGTGCATAGGATACAGTAAATTATCAATAAATGGACATTATTGTTATTTTGCTATGCTATTTTTACTATTACAGAACTTAGCACCATATATTATAGTTCACATATTTTTCCAATTCTTTTATGAGATATTAAGTTATTTAATGCTTTATTTGCTGTTGTGAATTTTAGTTTTTACCATAGTACTGGAAATATAATAGGTGTTCACTAAACGTAAACTGTTGCTATTATTATAAAACTTAGAGCTAGATTTTTGTAGCTGGGCTGGTCTTAAGAGCTGACCAAAAAGGAAGTTTTGTTTGAGGGATAAGTGAAATTGCTTGACACTTGAAGCATAGAGGAGTAGCACCTGGAACACTGCAGGTGACAGAACTCATATGAGCTGATCATATTAATATTCAGGGACTGGCATTAACTATAGCATTAAGCACCATGGCTTTGGGAGCCTGGTTGAAATAGGAAAGTGTTTTCAAGTGAGCCATAAGGGCTTGTTCAATAAGAAATTGTAGAATAAATTCATAGATATGGAGACTTCTTTTTTCCAGGAACTACCCAGGACCCTTGGACAGCTATAGGAAGGAGAGGGGTCACATAAAAAAAATGACAGCAATTGGATATCCTATGAGTTGTGCAGGGCTGAGCTAGATTTTGAAAAAGACATCAGCATAAATTATTGCCAATATCACACATTAGTGGGGTTGACAATTCACCTAGGCGTATTCTGTGAGCGGGAGCCAGGAGGTAGAGAGTGAGTTGAAAGAGGAGGATGTAAACACAGGATGCTGAGGGGCAGTCTTCATGCTATAGCCTGCTGATCACTAGTTCTTGACCTAAGCCAAGTTGGGTATTAAAAATTTGGATCAGCACAAAAACCTGCTGTTCTCCTTTGGTCACCCCATTCTCTGGCTTCTTCCTCTGTGGTTCTGTGGGATGAGGGAGCTGTGGGGAGGGGGTAAGGAGTTCTATGGCTGCCATTCTTTTACCTCGAACATCATGGAGAAAATTCATACTGATTTAGTGCCACTTTATATTTTTCTGGTTCTGTTTTTTACTTACTATTAATGGACTTTTAGCTCACCCCAGACTCCCTAGTTATTTTAGGAGAACCTAGAGAATTCACAGTCCTCTGAGCTTCTCTCAACTGTCCACATTGCTACAAGTGCCTGCCAATGATTTGCTCCAGCTATTGCCTGGATCAAGATCTTGAAGCCGCTTGCTCACCCTTGAGGTAATGGCCTCCACTAGTACATTAAGCTGGTACTAGTATGGACATTAGCACCTTTGGTGTGAGCACTGGCACTGTTAATGACCACAAATTTAGGAAGATAAACACAAAGCTGTGCCATAACAATTTTGTAAAAGCAAAGAGGACCCTTTCCCTCATTTTTGTAACATGTTTTGTTTCTTTGATTCTAGAGCATCTTTGTGGTCTTAATGGACTCAGCAGCTTTCATATTTTTACACCTAAAAATCATTAGTTGATTGCCTTTTGAGGAAAGCACACACAAATGGTGAAAACAGATCTTGGGTGATCTGGGGAGAGCACCCACAATGTTGCAACAATCATATCATCTCAGTGTTGTGCCATGTACTCAGCACAACACTGACTTTACCTGCATTTTCTCATTTTACTTTTACAACTACCCAGATTTTGCAAATAAGGAAAGTCAAGATTACATAAATGAGGAAACCTGCCCAAACTGACTCAGAGCCCAGTATTTTCTGAGATTCTAAGGGTGCCAGTGGTAAAAATGCAGCCTGAGAGCCTGGAATAGAGGCAGTTACAGTAGGTGTCCCAAAGGCCTGGGACATTTTGAGCTGAGATTGTGGGTCCCTTTTTGTCTGGCTACCTGCATTAAACAATTCCTATTAAGAGTGAGGAAACACAAACAAACAGATGAAAGGTCCTCCATTTGACCTCTGTGTAGTCCTATATGTCTAGACCTTGCCTGTGGATGTCTAGCTGTGAGCAAGGCTGTGAGTGTAATTAGCTTGGAGGGTCAGGGAGGAGATGAACTGTAAGAAACTAAGCAGTCCTGATGGCCAGCAGCTGCAGATATTTACCCAGCCCATCCCACACAGCCTCTTGTCATTAGAGAAAGGAGACTTTGGAATCAGAGTTTTCATATTATCAGGGATGGGGCAGATTAAGTTAAACACTTTCAACGATATTTCAAGAAAAAGAGCTCAATGGATGAAGAAATAAAAATTTAATGAGAAAGAAAATACTTTTATACATAGGGTTTTGTTCTGAAAACTGACAGGAAAGGATTCCATAGCAATTGCAGCCCACCCAGGGATGCCATTTAATCAGACATTTGGTGGGCAATTGGGAGCTAAGACCTAAGGGTCATGATAGGATTAATACTTTTTCTCTGAGAGCCAAGCAACACACCTCCTGCCCCCCCACCTCCCTGAAACGCACGAGGTTGTGCCGCAGAGGCCAGTATACAATTGAGCAACTGTCTGGTGGTCTAGTTTGTAACTGGAGCCTTTAAGACCATGGCTTGTTGACCCCTGAAATTCTACCCACTGACCTGGCATGATGAGCTATTATATTTGTCTCTTGGAGTTTGAGTGCCTCTGTCTATAAGAATAGTGGAATGACTCAATATGCACGAGCATGTTTGGGGGACACTTTTTCATTTGATTCTCTCTCACATATCTCACTGGTCCCCAATTTTTCTCCTAGTGGAGTTGGGGGCTTTGATCCAGGACTAATTGTGAGGTTGTTTTTCAGAGTGTATCATGGTCACTCTGGGATTCTGATTTGCTTTGAGAAGAAAACCCAGTTTATGCCAATTTAGTTACAGAGCTTCCCAAACTCACTGTAACTCTCCCAGTTGGAGCTCACCTGTATTTGTGGTCAGGGCCATTTCTCTGCTCCATCCTCAGGACACTTCTGCTCTGCATGGGAAGGAGCAGAATCTCGCAGGAGCTCTTTCTGTGTGTGAAAGCCAGGAGGTTAACAAAACACCTAGCTTCTTGAAGGTAATTATAGACTTGTGATTCTACAAAATCCAGCATGCATCAGAATCACCTGTTGGGCTTGTTTAAACACAAGCTTCTGGGCCCAGCCTCAGAGAAACTGGAATGGACTCCAAGAAATTGCATTTCTAGCAAGTTTCCATATAATACTGATGTTGCTGGTTTAAGGACTGCACTTAGAGAATTCCTAAATGGAGAAAAGTTTAGACACGAGTGGCAGAATGTAATGCAGTATGCGGAAAGTTGCATATTGATGACACAGATTACAGGACAAGGATGATTGTTGGTCAAGCATTTGGTAGATCAGATGAGGAAAACAAAAATGGGAAATTTTGATGATTCTAGCTTTACTGCCTGTATTCCTAATTTCTGAAGAATGGCACCAATATTAAACATCCAAGAACTAAAAACATGATCATTATCCCATTAGCTTAGGCATGAAATCCAGGCAATTTCACTTCTAAACATCTCTCCAATCTTCCTTCCCTCCTTCCTTCCTTTCTTCCTTCCTTCCTTTCCTTTCCTTCCTTCCTTCCCTCCCTCCCTCCTCCCTCCCTCCCTCCTTTCCTTTTTCTTCCTCCCTTCCTCCCTTCCTTCCTTCCTTCCTTCTTTCCTTCCTTCCTGCCTTCCTTTTCTTTCCTTTCTTTCCTTCGTTCTCCTTCTTCCCTTCCTTCCTTTCTCCTTTCTCTCTCTCTTTTCTTTTTTTTTTTTTTTTGAGATACAGTCTCTCTCCTCTGTGTCTTACGATAGAGTACAATGAAGCTATAACAGCTTGAAGCTCACAGCCTTGAACTCCTAGGCTCAAGAAATCCATCTGCCTCAGCCTCCTAAATTGCTGGAATTATAAGCGTGAGCCGCTGTGCCCAGCCTCTATCTAATTTTCTTCATCTTACTGCGAGTTCCTAGCTCACTCTCTAATCACCTCCTGCTGTCTCTATTCTCAGTGAATTCTTGACACAGCTGTGGAAGCCATTATCCTAAATGCAAACTTGATCACCTATTTATATTATCTTTAAATTAATTAATAATTTATATTATTACCAAACTAAGTTTTAAAGCTTACTTCTCATACTGTCCTGCGCATCCCTCATTCTCAGCAAACTTCTTACTTGCATATAGCACTTTCCAACTAGAGTATCTCAAAGCAGGGATGATGTCTCTTTTTCTTTATATTATTAGCATATAGACAGGAATCATAATCAGTTATAATAATATACCAAGAACTTTATCTCATCTTTCAACTTTAAACTACTTGCAAATTGGACATCATCAACCCCTTTATTTTTTTAAGGAAATGAAGGCTTTGCAAGGTTAAGAAACTTAGGATGGCATAGCTAATGAGAGACTAAGTTGAGATTTAAGCCCAGGTCTGTGAGACTCAAGGTAGTATCATCCCATATGCTTTTCTTTTGTTGACACATTATCTTGCTTTGTTGCCCAGGCTGGAGTGCAGTGGCATGATCTTGGCTCACTGCAACCTCTGCCTCCTAGGTTCAAGCGATTCTTCGTGCCTCAGCCTCCCGAGTAGCTGGGATTACAGATACTTGCCCCGATACCAGGCTAATTTTTGTATTTTTAGTAGAGACAGGGTTTTGCCATGTTGGCCATGCTGGTCTCAAGCTCCTGACCTCAGGTGATCCACCCACCTTGACCTCCCAAACTGCTGGGATTACAGGTGTGAATCACCACACCCAGTACCATATGCTTTTTCTGCATGGTGGCTAGAGGAGATAAAAATCATTCTTTGTTTCCTGAACAGAACTGCTACTAGTCTCTATTACTTAGACTGGCAGATAAGACTAGCTGCTTGCAGAGTTTGAAATGCTCTCTCACATATCTATGCCTTTGCTCAAGCCAGTCCCTTCACCAGGGATGCCCTCCTTACCCATTCTGTTTGCTCATTCTTCAATAGTTAAGTCAGCCTCTCCATTCCTAAAACTTTGCTATCCTGCCCCTGTGTTTCCATAGCAACTTGAATCAATCTCTGTTTTGAAACTTAACACAACTTTATTTGTCTGACACCCTTTCCCCCACCATGAATCACTGAGCTTTTTGGGGAAACTCATCTTAAATCTACAATGCCTGGCATAGAAGATGTGAATTAGTTAGGGTATTTTTTGCTGAAAGGAACAAAATCCCCAACTCAGTATGGCTTAAATAAAAAGAAAATTTATAGGCTCACATAACTTGAAATCTAGTTCAAAAACATTGCAGAGATTTTGTGAGGACTGCATATTTTATACACATACATATAAAATATCCAACATTTACTGCATGAGTAGCATAGACTATGCACCAAGTAAATAGGAGCTGTCATTATTCTTGGATAATTAATTTATCCATATCTGGGATCACATATATAAGTTTTATTTGTGAAAACTTCCAAATTCTAGACTGCCTTTTCTAGATTTCTATGTCTCTTCCTAAACCTAATCACTTGGTCGATGCACCTAGGAATCTGGAGAATTGGGTCCAACATCCTTATTAATATACTGTGCAAAAAGTTTTATTTTTCTAATTTTTTATTCTTTAAAACTTTTGTTATAGTTTCAGGAGTACATGTGCAGGATTTTTATGTATGGGGGTTTGTTGTGCAGATTATTTTGCCACTCAGGTATTAAGCATAGCACCCAAAAGTTATTTTTTTCTGATTCTTTCCCTCTTCCCACCACCTTTTACTCTTAAGTAGGCACCAGTGTCTGTTGTTCTCTTTGTGCCCATGAATTCTCATAATTTAGCTCCCACTGCTAAGTGATAACTTATGGCACTTGATTTTTTGTTCCTGCATTAGTTTGCTCAGGATAATGGTCTCCAGCTCTATCCATGTTCCCACAAAAGACATGATCTTGTTCTTTTTTATGGCTGCATAGTACTCCATGGTATGTACCACATTTTCCTTAGTCTGTCATTGATGTGCATTTAGGTTAATTTCCATGTCTTTGCTATTGTGAAGAGTTCTGCAAGCAATTCTCATTCAGGTCTGATGTCCCCTCTTTTCTTATCCTATAATAGAATCATAGATTCTTACTCTATTACATCTGGGAACACTCATTTACAGGTGGGAAAATTGAGGCCCTGGATTGGAGAACTGACTCTGCAATCAGCTCCACATCATGGATTCATTTGTTGATCTTCTCTGATCCTCCATAGCCTCTAGCATCTTTTCTACCACATTTTGGCTTGTTGAAATCTTCACTGTCCACTTAAATTCTTGCTACTCAAAGCGTGGTTGGAGGGTGAGCCACAGGACCAACACCTGGAGCTTGGAGCTTGTTAGAAGTGCAGGCTCTTGGACCTCGCGCATGTCCCGCTGAATTAGAATCTGCAGTTTCACGGGATCCCCAAGCCAACCCTGGTGGTTCCTACAGACATTACAGTTTGGAAAGCACCTTTTTAAGGTACCTCAGAAATTCCCTAAGACTTTCCAGGTTTGAATCCTCATACTGCAACCTGCCAGATGTAACAGGGCCAGTTATTTAACCTCTCTCTCAGTTCCCTCACCTGCAAAGTGAGGATGATTTAGATTCAAGAGTTCTTGTGAGTATCAAATGAGACAGGGCACAAAAAGTATCTGGTCCGCAGTTAAAAGTCAAAAAATGTTGACTATTATTCTCAGTCTACCCTCAGTGAGTATAATTATGCCATTTTTGAAGATTGCTCTTCGGTTTTCATGTGCTTATCTTCCGTTCCAGTCTCTGAAGTCTCTGTATTTTATCTCCATGGTGGCTGGCCCAATAACCTTTCTAATCTGTTCAATATATATTTATTACATTTAGTAGTTGTCAATGGTTTCATTTTATTTTCTAGATGCTCGTAGACCTATATGTCAGAGAACCAGATTAATTCATTGTATTTTAATAAAGTCCTGACATTGTGCAGAATCTTCAAAGGAGCATAACATATGGGCAAAGGCCCTAATTAAACACTTGTTGAAAGTAAATTAGTTAATTAGAGTTGACCGCTACTTCCCATAAAGGGTAATCAACACAAGGTCTGCAGAGAGCACTGACATCCTGTGGGGGCAGACAGGGCTTATTTTCAGGCAAAATTATGTCCTTTAATAAATGCTTTTATGTGCCTCATCCTGTCCAAATTAGAAAAAAAAAGTCACTAAATCCACACAGAAAAATAAACAAAATAATAACCCAGAGAATTTCTCACTTGGTTGTTTCTGACATTAAGGTACCCCTCACAAAAGGTGCTATCATTTTTTTTTTCTCCAAGGATGAGTGATTTTGAGAGTTAGGGACCCAAGGTTTCCTTTTATTTTATAAAGAAATCTCCATTCTTTGCTGGACACCTTACCAGAAATAATGGAGGAAATAACTGGAATATGTCATCAATCACTGGAATTTTCCCAACATTTAATGGAGTAGGCTGAATTTCTGGATATCTCTTGTTGGAGGTGGAAGGGTATATTTAATTTTTTACCAGTACACTAATTTTGTTCTAAATAAAAATGAAGGATTTACTTCAGATAAAATACAAGTGAACCTAAGCCATCATTCATTCACTCTTTGCACTAAGCTCAGGCCATTTCTGAGGTTTTTGGATTTATGTTTATTTTCATCTGGGTATGTAGTTTGGGTTTTGGCAAGCAGCAGCAATGGAAATACCATGAAGAAAAGAAAGTTAGTCTCAAAGCATTTTGGCCTTGACCAAACCTGTTGTTTCATGAAACTGAAGTTTTGACATTAAACTTTCTGGAGAGCAACTGCCAAATAATCCTGGTTTAGGTCATAATAGAGCAATAAATAAACAGTTTTCCTCTTCTATATGGCATGGTGGGAGTTGGCTAGGAGCACAAAGAGCCCAAAGCTGAGATTTGAGACCCTGAGTTTTGGTTTCGTCTGTCATTTGTTGTGCTGACTTAGTCTGCCTTAATATCAAGGGTACCCTAGAGGTACTTAGCGGGGGATTCTATAGGGTACACCTAACATTTGTCTTTAAAAAATT